CGTCGTCGTTTCTAGTCGGCCTTTTGTTTCATATAAGTCGAGTCCGCTTCTCTCTTTTTGTGTCTTGGTTTCAGTCAGACATCCATTCATCCATCCTTCTCTTTTACGCCTTCCTTCAGTCATCACCACGTGTTTCTTGTTTTAGCACCAACACCATCCGCTTGGATACTACTCCGCATACTTGTCTTCTTGGCCAAACCTGTTTCACTCTCGACACTTTAGTGCAAGACATTCTCATCTGCGCCATCTTTCACATCAAACAAAGTCTAAAATAGACTTCAAACAAAGCACATTACCAGAAATCATCAAAGTCTCCGCAATGTCACCATCAAACACCCAGGAGGACGCCGCTGCCCAGGGCCGTGGCGGATACAACTAAGATTCGAACGGGCCGTGCCGTCAAACCATATCGGGACTCACCTTGGAACACATCAGCATTGCCGATGGCCTATTCTCTCCTTCGTCCAGAGTCTCGGGCCGTCCACTCTATGCCATGACGATATCATGATGAACATGATACCCTCCATTTCCGCCTTTCAACTCAACCACTTATCAACTTCCCCATGTTGATATTTTCCTTTCCTCTTTCAACACTTTCAACACATTCACCATACTTCATCTCTTGTATTTTTAGTTCCTCCTCCCTTTTTTCGTTACCTCACCCCTCCGCTTCTCTTTTTTATCTTTCTTTCTTGGATCCAGGCATAGCGAGCGATGGCGTTAATGGAAACAAACCTTAGATAGGACAGGGATACCACGGATCAAAGGCATTACTAGGCGTTTATTTTGGATACAAAGGAACATCTTGGGATACCCCTTTCTCGTTGTGTTAATGAACATGTTATGCTCGGGTAAACAAAAGGAGCATACGGGTTTTTGGGATATGGCATATACAATGTGGGAGTTTTTGGAGTTTGTTATATCTTACATTGACCTTTTACTATTTGTTTGAATTGATACTTTTAACTGGGTTTGCTCGTGTTCTTGAAGGCCGTTGGGTTTCCGCTTTGAGACTCCCAATCAGAGCAACACGTTTACGTTGATGGCTTCTAGTAACCACCCTGCTGACTTTGCTGCTATTTGATAGGACGTTTGATGCTAACCCTTCCACTTTTGATATTGCTGTTTGGGGTTCTGGAAACCCGACAAGATTGCATGAGAATGTCACTACTTCCCAACGCAGAACCTAACAGGATACCAATGTCAGCGAAATGTCAATTACAAATCTCCGCCAACGATAGCCACACATAGACTGGCGGCCACTTTTGAGACTCCGACGATCCATGCGTGCTGTGCCACAATCGATACAGCACGGACAACGTGATGCTACAAGCGTTGTGGCTTGTTATCAGAACACATCTGCTTAGCCCCTCTTTGGGGCCTTACGTCTGACTCTCGGGGGGGCCAAAACCAAAGAACGCCTTGACGGTTCTTCCAGAACATTGCACAGCGTGGCCAGGAAAGGGGAAAGGGGCCGGGGTGACTTACTTTTCGAAAACAACCCCCAAAACTTCTTCAACATCCCCGCTCTCGCCTCGGCCCGTGATACGAGCCAGGGCGTCAGCAGCGGACCGTAGACATTCGGCAGCGACCACAATATCCACTTCATCTGCCTCGCCGTCAATTTCCTCATCGGTCGCACATGCAGCTGCCGACGAACTATCGACAGTCGTGAGAAAGGCAGAGAGGTGACCGAGACACTCGGCCAGGAGAAGACGCTGACGCTCGGTTGCACCCAAGGATTCTTGCCATATGCTTGGATCGGGGTCGGGATCAGAGTCGGGTACAAGTGCCGTAGTCATAGATTTGAAAATGTCTTGCAGAGTGGTGAGAAATGCCGGTATATTACCAGCCGTGACTTCTTTGCAAGAAATAAAACATGTTCGGTCTTCAGGTAGCCCCAGCGCAGAATGGACTTTCTGCTTCCATCTTCGTTGAGCGGCGTCGAGAGCAGAGATCTGGTCGCTCTTGTTGATAGCGACTATAACATTGATGCCAACGTCAACACACTGCTTCGCCGTCTCCATGACCTCAACATCCATATCGGCTGTGGCATCCTGGACGACAATCAAGACATCTGACTCGAGGGCCCTTTGCTTAGCGCGCCTAATGCCTTCTTGTTCTACAGCTCCAACCACGTCACCACCCACTAGGCCAGCCCTGCGTAAGCCAGCCATGTCGCCAATCTTCACGAGCCATCCACCCAGATCCAATCCTACCTCGACCACATCTCGCGTTGTGCCAGCTTCCTGGGAGACGATGGCAGCATCTCGCCCAACGATACGATTCAGCAAGCTGCTCTTGCCTGCGTTGGGTGCTCCAAGAAGCGCGACACTAATACCATTGCGCAGCAATTCTCCGCGTACAGCGTTGGAAATGTGCGCCTCCATCTGTGTGCTCAAGACCTGGACTTGGGATGCAACAGAGGCGCATAATGCTGCTGGTGATTCATCAAAGTGTTGGTCTTCGGAGAAGTCGATCAAGGCTTCAAGCTCGCCCCGCGCTTCAAGTAGGAGTCTGCGCCACTTCTCATAACGCTTAGCCAAGGAAGAAGTCGTGCCCCTCACGGACAGCTTGCGTTGCTGCTCGGTAGAAGCTGACAAAGTCTCGCCTAGCGACTCGATCTGGGGCAGGTTCATGCGATTGTTGGCGAAGGCGCGTCGGGTAAATTCTCCAGGCTCCGCATATCGGATTTGTGAGCGCTTGAATGCTGGAGTTCCTGATACTGTGCCGCATTCAGGTATGGCTGCCAGCACTGCACGGACAACTGCTGGACCTCCATGTACATGTAGTTCCAAAACATCTTCGCCAGTCACAGTTTTGGGCGCTGGGAAGTACAGAACAAGGGCACCTGAGTCAAGTATCGTGGCAGGCGAAGGCGGCAAATGCGGGGCATATAATCTCCGGAGAGTCGCATGCCTGGGCTTAGGGAACTCAGTGGAAGGACAGAGGCCTTGGTATATCTGATAGGCGTTCAGCATTTCGCTATGCGACATAACATGGTCGGCCAAGGGTCACCAACCTGCCTGCATGCTGGACCAGAAACGCGAATGGCGGCTATTGCAGCCCTTCCAGGAGCAGTAGAGAGCGCATAAATGGTAGAGTCTTCATGATTTGCATGGTATAGACGGCGCTGCGATTCTCTCAAGGTGAGTTGGACATGGTGGTGGGGTTCATGGTGCAATTCTCTGGTGCGTAAGCAATTTAGAGAATTGAAGACATAGTGAGATGAAATAGTAGAATTCCGCAGTCTCTGATGACATGTGCGACTGAAAGCAGCAATGTTGGCTCTCATTCCGAGCTGATTGATCACATGTTGGCCATTTTCGTCGATGTTTTCAAGACGGGAACATGGGCAAAGATGGAATGGTTCCACACCTCCACAGTGGTCCGTGCATACGCTAAAATAATTTCTTGAGATCGTCGCTGGCTTGCGCCTGCGCTCCAACCTGCTCATCCTGCTCGTCCTGTGCCAGAGCGACGAAGCCTTTTCTCTCTGAATACACACGCTTTGTGTTGAACTACGAGCCACTCTAGGCTTCTGCGATACAAATACTAGGACGACAACCACTCGTTAGTGACGCGCCACCGACGACACCATGGCTTCGGACGACCTGGTGTGGTCCATTATCGGCACCGACTTTTGTAGTTTCAGTAGGCAATGCCATACAGCTCCGCGTGGGAATTGAGACTGACTTGTGCTAGAGCTTAAAACAACAAAAGACCAGACGTTTTGCAGAAACGAGCACAATGTATCGGGTTACTGCTCAAAGCAGTCCTGCCCTCTTGCAAATTCTCGATACGCCACGATCCGCTCCGATCCCGCGACCGGAAATCTGTACCTTTACATCAAGGCCATTGAGCGCGCTCATCTTCCCTCACAATGGTGGGAGAAGATAAAACTTCCCAAAAACTATGCTCAAGCTCTCGAGCTTGTAGACCAACATCTTGCCTACTTTCCCAAGTTCCTGGTTCACAAGAACAAGCAGCGTCTCACTCGCTTGACTCAAGTGAACCTGAGAATAAGGCGGTTAGCCAAGGAAGAGGAGCGCCTAGGAGAGAGGCTTGTGCCTAGGCTCGCGCCCAAGGTTCGCCGACGAGAGGAGGGCCGAGAGCGCAAGGCACTTGCTGCTGCAAAGGTCGAGCGCGCAATTGAGCGAGTGCTGATTGAACGTCTGCGCAGCGGTGCGTATGGCGACCGACCGTAAGTCCATCCCTTTATTTCTGCCTGCATGCCCTGCTATGATTATCACTTTTTAACCCTGAGGTCCACTATGAGGATCAAAAAACGCAACACTCTAATTTTTTAATGAGCATCAACAACACATATTGTTCTTCTAGTCATTACTGCACTTTATCCAGAGACTGACTTGAAGACAGCATCAACGTCGAGCCCAATGTCTGGAAACGAGTTATGCGTGGCCTGGAGAAAGAAGGCCAGCTCAAGGGAGATCAAGACCTCGACGACGGTATTGAGGATGAGGATGAGGAGAATGAGTACGAGCAGGAGATGGAGAACGGTGTTGGCGAGGTTGAGTATGTCAGTGACATTGAGGGCGAATCAGACGATGAGATGGAAGACTTTGAGGATTGGATCGGAGGCCAGAGCCCAGACGATGGCACGAGCGGTGAGGATGAGGAGAGTGGTAGCGATGAAGAGGAAGAAGATGAGTCTGAAGACGAAGACACGGAGGCGCTTAAGAAAACGCTGGCGAATCTCAAGCGCAAGCGTCCGGCAGGCCCACCGCCGAAACCCAAGAAGAAGCCGTCAAAGGACTCAAAGGGCCCCAAACGGAAGATCGAATACGAAATGGAGAGGGCGCCGGCAAGGGAGGCTATGCACATTTGATACCCATATGGTTATCCTGTTGGCGTTTGAGTTTGCCATTGTGAGAATAAGTGCACAATGAATTGGTGCAACATGTCTCACAATGGCCAACAGAGCAAATCATATAACAAAGGTTTCTGTCCCAAACTCACCTCTTGCTTTGAACTGCACCATGGCTCAGCTATATGCAATTTCAGGCAGTTTATTTCCCGCGTCAGCTACCAAGGCCGACAAAGAAGGATTTGAAGATTTGGCGAAAGCGTTAATTATTGCAACAAGACAGCCCATTTACAACGCTACAGAAGATATTGATGGGACGCTAGAGTTGTTAGATGCGCATTCTGCTCCTGAGTGGCAGACGGGCCTCTTTGTCGGCATGGGTCTCGTCTCGCCCATATGCGCTACGCTTGATACATCGACGCGCAAGTTACGCCGCGCTGGCAAACTCATGCACCCGCTGGCAAACTCATACAACGGAAAACTAATTATGAGAAGAAAGCATGTAGGCGCTAGAGGCGCCAATCCTGGTGCTGGTTCATATGAACAAGGGTCAAATGACGTATCTGCACACAATGAAGTTTTTGCGCATCTTGATATCGGCACGAGTAACGAGTCGGCGGCCACGCCTGAAGTTGCCGACGAGCTGGACCGAGTCATGCGTCCGGTTTCTTTTTTGCGAAGATGAGTCAGAAAAGGCGCAACATGTATGAGATCATTGATTGGGAACGCAGGGCACGGGGAGAGTGGTGGTGATGATTGATTTCCCAAACTCATGTATTATTTTTCATAATTGCACCAATGTAACCTTTTTTCAATAAACCAGAGACACAAGGATATATCGGCAAGAAATTTCGGCATAGACTAAATTCACTGGCTCTACGTGTAGCCTCGTGTCGGGGCGCGTGATATGTATATTTTCCTTTTGAAACGGGTGAACAGGGCATAGGAGCAGGGGGAGGGATGCATTGCATGTGATCACAGCGGTTGGGATGTAATGTGACAAGCACAAGCAGGACGGATGAAAGAGAGTCTAGTCGGTTGAAGCATTCCCCACAGACCTCAGAGCCTTCTGCCCCACACTCGTTAATGTTAGCCTTGGTCACACCACACTCCATGTATCCGATGTGAATGGGGATCTGCCCTCGAGGCGTTGCGGAGACGCCTCCAACTGCCTGGTTCCGATAGCTCTCGAACTTTGGAAGCTTCTTCGTGTTCCCTGCAGCAGTACCCGTGGGAGGATAGACAGGGCGGCCTACGCCTTTTGGCAAGCCGTCAAGCAAATGTCTTGTACATGCCGAAGCTTCGGTCTCTCTCTCGGCATCACAGGGTCCGGGGCAGCAAGTTGCCTTGGTAGCCTCACGAGCATCAGCCATGTCCGACATCATCGTTGCCCCGGCACTGCCCAAGACGGCAAGCCGGCCAGCTACTGCAGACGTACTTGGGGTAGCTCGAGCGAACACGCGACAAATCAAACAATTGGAGAGCCCTGGCCCACCCCAGATGGCCGGGTAGTATCTCTTACTCCGCACGCCAAACTCCACGGGGTCTGGCATCCATCCATGCTCAACGATCCAACGTCATCCGCTCAAGCAATTGTGGGGATGCCGCCGCTCAACATGGCTTGTTTGCCGCCAATCCTGGGGACATGGTGCGCAGACGCGACAGCATGCTACAAGGCCTCGTGTTGGACGAGCCTTTATTAAGAACGAATCTGTCGCGCTCCTTGTCGTACCTCGCTACCCACCCTCTCTCATCGGCTTTGCAGTCTCACGATGAAGAAGTTCTACGGCCTCAGGGGCACGCAGCTCAATATTGCCATTGCTGTTATAGCAGGCACAGATTTTGCTCTTTTCGGTTATGGTATGTGTCTTTGTACAGCTTCACATTGCTGGCTCGACTTCAGACTGACAATGCTTCAGACCAAGGTGTTATGGGCGGTCTGCTCACACTCAAGTCTTTTGTCAGATACTTTCCCGAGATTGACAGCGTCAACCCGCCCCCTGGGAGCTCCACGAGCCATGCTGCGACAATCCAGGCCATCACTGGTTAGTATTCTACACACTGCATGTAAACGTCTAGTCCTAACATCGTCCAGTCGGTGCATACACCCTTGGTTGCTTTTTCGGCGCAGTCGCTACCATCTGGCTTGGAAACATGCTTGGACGCAAAAAGACCATCTTTATCGGCTCTGCTATCATGGTTGTTGGCGCTGTCCTCCAAACTGCATCTTTTGGACTTGCTCAACTTATCGTCGGACGATGGATTACCGGCTTCGGCAACGGCATGAATACCAGTACGGTCCCAACATGGCAATCTGAGACTTCCAAGCCTCACCGCAGAGGCCAAATGGTCATGATTGAAGGCTCTCTCATTGTCTTTGGTGTCATGTTGAGTTACTGGCTTGATCTTGGCTTCTCGTTCCTAGAGCCCAGTAGTATCGCCTGGCGCTTCCCTATTGCCTTTCAGATCATCTTGGCTCTGTTCATCATCGCCCTGATTCCGGGTCTGCCTGAAAGTCCACGTTGGCTAGTGCTCAAGGGCCGAGAGGACGAGGCACTAGAGGTCCTGGCTGCGCTAAGCGACCTTCCTCCAACCGATAAGAAGATTGAGGCAGAGTTCCAGGCTGTCAAAGATGTCATTACGGAAATGTCACAAGGTGGTTTCCGCGACTGCTTCAAGCTCAACAGGAACCGCAACTTTCACCGTACTGTGTTGGCCTATGTCAACCAGATGTTCCAGCAGGTGAGTTTTACTGGTAAATTTGGCATGATACATTCTGACGCCATGTTCTAGATTTCGGGTATCAACCTCGTCACATACTATGCTGCTACCATTTTCGAAAACTCGATTGGCCTTTCTCCTTTCTTGAGTCGTCTCTTGTCTGCCTGCAACGGTACTGAGTACTGGATCGCAAGTTGGATTGCCATCTTCACGATTGAGAAGTTTGGCCGCCGTTCTTTGATGATATTTGGTGCAGCAGGCATGTCAATCTCCATGGCCATTCTGGCTGGTGCTACTAGCAACATTGGCAACAAGAGCTTGGGATTGCTCGCGGTATGTTGCTTTACATATTGATACACTTTGCACAGAACTAACGTATGTAGACTGTCATGCTTTTTGTCTTTAATTCATTCTTCGCCGTTGGATGGCTAGGTATGACATGGTTGTATCCTGCTGAGATTACCCCATTGTCCATTCGTGCCCCAGCCAACGCCATTTCCACCACAGCCAGTAAGTTTTCTGCACGAACTAATTCCCTGTCCCTACTAACCCGCTCTAGACTGGATCTTCAACTTCCTAGTCGTCATGATAACACCCCCTGCCTTTGCAAACATTGGTTACCGAACCTACATCATCTTCGCCGTCATCAACGCGGCCATTGTACCGTCCGTCTACTTCTTCTTCCCAGAAACCGCATACCGCTCCCTTGAGGAAATGGATGAAATTTTTCACAACACCACAAACGCCTTCAACGTTGTCAAGATCGCAAACGAGCTTCCACACCGCTACGACAAGCGCGGCGAGCTCCTCATCAATTACGCGGACACAGAGCAGGCGCACGAAGCAGAGCGTAGGCGCAGTTCCGTGGTGGGTGTGCAGGCGAATGGGAGATCATTGGAGAAGGATACGGAGACTAAGGAGCATGTGGAGAATGGGGGTGTGCTGCATGAATCGAAATAGGTAATGCGTTAATAGCTTATACGTGACGGAATACCATTTTGATACTTTTTTCCCCTGACTATGAAACTACTCGATTCAATTAACTTTAACTAAGGAAATGCTTACCCCTTGGCCTGATGTTGCTATGTCCGGTCCCTCGTATGTAGTTGTCTTAGCGGCAATTAAGGTAGTGACAGCCGATGCCTTCCGCATACTCCGCATTCTCCGCACTCGACCATATTTCCCCTCTTCTTTTGCCTTTCACTGACAAAAAAACAAAGAAAGACAACGAACATAATCAATTCTCCGTTTACTATATCTTACAATTGACCAAGCCACTATCCAACTCTTCGAACAAGACCAACCAAATGTTCTTCATCCCCTTCGTCATCTTCCTCGCAATAGCCTGGGCCATCCTCGGCGTTCTCCTCGCAAAATGGCTCAAACAAGCAGGCTACGCGCGCCCATTCCGAGGACGAGAATTCACTGATACCGAGTTATATGGGTCCGGGGTAGGAGTAGGGAGTCAAAGAGGGATACCAGACTTCGGTCGAGGCCGGTTGAAAGGCGTTTAAAAAAAATCCCCCACCTCCATCTTATTTTCTAGGAGGAGGAGGAGGAGGAGGAGAAGGAATAAGAATTCAGTATGTATAACTATGCATGTTGCGATATAGGGTCATTTACGAAGTAGTCGCCACAGGAGCGCCATACGGCACAGCCTTCACACTCTTAACATCCATATGCCCATACCCCTTCCCATGCTTCCTGTCCTGCCGCGTCCACTCCTCCATATCCTTCAAAAACGCCGCGTAATTCGCCTCGTCGCTCAGATCAATCGGCTGCTCATCCTTGCCCAACTGCTTAATCTGCGCGCCTGCCACCACAAGCGAAATCCCAAACTCGCCATCTTCCATGCGCTGCTTAATGGTAGCGTTGACCTCGCCTGCGAGGATCTGGCGCGGAAGTTCGGGTTCGAGACAGGTGGGGCGCGCGAGCCCGATGCCGTCGACGGCGGAGAGGGCGTTGAGCATGGCCGGCACGGTTTTGAAGCCGCCGGTGACGTAGGTTTTGGTTTTTGAGAGTGAGGGAGTGATTTTCTCGGCAAAGTCGAGGAAGAAGGCTTCGCGCTTCTTGGTGGATTCGCGCTGGTGGCTAAACGCCAAGTGCTCGTACGTTCCACCGGATAGCTCTACAAAGTCGAATGAGTTGGACTCGAGGAGTTGGCACAGCGTTGCTGCATCCTCGGTGTTGAAGCCTTTATCTTGGAATTCGACCGAGTTGAGCTTGATGCCCAGGATGAAGCTGGAGGACGTGCGTTTGCGGATTTCCTGCCCGATTTCGGTGACGATGCGAGCGCGGTTTTCGAGGGAGCCGCCGTAGGCGTCGGTGCGGAGGTTGGTGGTTGGAGAGAGGAATTGCGCGAGGAGGTAGCCGTGGGCACCATGTAGTTGGATGCCGTCGTAGCCGGCTTTTTCAAGATACTCAGCCGCGTGGGCGAAGCCGTTGACGACGTTTTTGATGTCTCCCTCGGTGGCGGCGCGAGGCTTTGCGAAGGTCATGCCCATTAGGTTATTGGTGAGCTGCACGTCAGAGGCGGAAATGGGGTTCTTTTGGATCTCTTCTGTGACTTGTCGTCCTGGGTGGGATACTTGTCCCACCATCAATGATCCATGTTTCTTGCCTTCGGTTGCAATCTCCTTGAACATTTCGAAGCGTTCGCCTTCGAACTTTGCGTCGCGGGGGATAATGGGGTTGCCGGCGGCCTCTAGGTGGTCGTACTCGATCATGATGTTTCCAGTCAGGATGACGCCATATTCGCCTTTGCCCCATCGTCGATAGACGTTGACTAGTTCCTTGGATGGGACACCACGGTTCTCTAGGACATCGGGGTCGAATGAAGAGAGGCGCTCAGTCATGGCGCCCTTGAGGAACCGGTTCTGCGCAGTGCGTTTGGAGAAGACGAAGTCGAGAGGCTTGCCCAATGGAGCTGGGTCCTTGTGCTCTGCCTCATATCTTTGTGGTGCCATGTTGAAAATGTGAAAAAAAAATAGTCTTGTTAGGTGTCTTTAACAAAAGTAGGAACAATATCTGTGTAAAAGGTTCTATATCTATATGTGTTAGAAGGACCAATTACGACGGAAAGTTCTAGTCTACAAAAGCGCGTTGTTACCAATCGAAGTTTTGCTGTATTTCTAAGCTTTCCTATATCTGTTGTCTACTATGCCAACAAGCAGATCCATAAATACGTCATAGAAAGCTCAATATGGGTTGGCATTCGACAGTGCTGTGTTGGCGAACTTGCTTCGGCAGACGTGCCTCGGCAGGGCTGCTACCGGCAAATATAGGCGAATTACAAATCATCATCTGAAGGGTTCTTGCCGGCTTGGGTTCGGGATTGGGCTAGGGTCGTTGGTGCGGACAATTGTGGGGCGGACGAGTGGCCATGAGAAGTGTAGACGGGGTAGTTGATACTATCGGCCCGATGAAACTTTTCGTACCATAACTCATTGGTGGACTATATGGTGCTCCATTGACTGAATGTTAGGAGATACATCAAGAAAACGGGAAAAAGAGGATTAATTTGTGCAAATGGAAGTGCAGAGCATAGTATAGGCAAGAGGTAGTATGATACAATTTCGAAATCGTGTAACGTGACGGATAAGCGAGTCGGTCAGGCAAGCGAGTCGGTCACCCTACCAACTTTGCGCACCTCTGCGGG